AAAAAGTCTGCTCTTCAGTCCACATTTCCCCTCAAGTCAACTGCCCAATTTTCCTTTGTTATATTTGTTGTTTTATTAAGTTGAACTTTTGAAAGAGAATTCTGTATTTCTTATTAAGTATGGTTACTATATCATTTATAAAATTGATTATTATTTTTTAAACATTTTAAATTGATGAATTAAAACTTAAAAGCATTGGAAAAAAATAAGAAAGTGTTAGTAATATATTATTTGTTTCACAGTTTTTGATTTCTTTTTTTATGGATATCAATTTTTTTTTATCATGATAGATGAATCTTATAAACGAAACGAAGCAAGTAACAAACACACTTACTTTCAATATAGAGAGAGTTATAAATTTGTTGTTAACTCATAATCTTGAGTTAGCACGTAATTTCCACTCCAAATAACTTTCAACGACATCTAGGCCACATAGCTCCTTCACAACGGGCATAGTAGCTGGAACCGGCAACTGAAACGTTGAACCCGAACCCTCCTCCTCCCCTTTCCAAGTCCGTAGCTGTTTCCGCGCTTCTTTCACAGCCTCTCTTGTGGCGCAGTGCACCGAAGCTGCCAGTAGCAACGGAGGCTCTCCTGAAGCTGCATTTACCCCCAAAAAACAATGTGATCACTAAGTAAAATAAACCCTAGTTGAAATGTTGTGTACGGACAGCGACTGACCTTTAGAAGAGAGTACGCGTTTTTCATGGCATCCACTGTTTAGTATCTCGACGTTGAACTGTCTAGGAATGGTGTCAACGGTCGGGATTTTGTATGTCCATGTGCTGTCTGTCACAACGAGTCCTTCCGGATCTGTTATGTACTCTTCAAGCATGAAAAACCCAAGTCCTTGCACAAAAGCTCCTTCAATCTAAAGAAGAAAAACCACATCACAAAAAGGATCTGCAAGTAAAGGAACCATTTGCTTTGTGTGCTCTTTCCTATTTACCTGTCCTAAATCAACAGCCGGATTGAGGCTTTTTCCACAGTCATACAAGATATCTGTCTGTAGAACCGTGGTTTGTCCCGTCACAAGGTCTACTTCGACCTAATATATTAACACCATTGAAACACCAAAGTTACTTCATTTCCACTACTCAAATCCAGATTTTAAAGAACAGGAAGGTAGGCCACTGAGAATAGAAACCAGAACTTGCCTCGCTAACTGCAACACCATAGTTCAGGTACCGTGTTGGAGTGTCTGCTGGAGTATACAAATCACTAGCTGATAAGTTCACAGATTGAGCATAGGCCTGCATTTGGATATAAGAATCCAGAATCAAAATCAACAAGCTCAACCTTTGATTCATTGACTCAATAATAAGCAGCTAGTCGAGGAAGAGAACCTGAGAAATCAACTTATTCCAGCTGATGGGACCACCCGATCTCTCCACTAAAGGTTTCAATCTTTCGACCAAGGTTTCACAGCAGAGACGAACAGCTGCACAGCTTCCCTCGGATGTTGTGCTACCTCCTGTAAAGTTTCCTTGGACCATGCTCAATGTATCTGATTGTACAACTCGTATCTTGTCCAAGAGCTCTTCCGTTCCATCGCATTGCAGCAAACCAAGAGCATAACCGGTCATTTGCTTCACCTTTGTCCATAGCCCTTGTCCTAGCTCGATTCCACCAACCTCAACAACGATCGTACCATCTCCCAAAACACTTACTCTCCCTGGCGTTGCAAACATGGAAACCTGATAAGTGATGGGTACTCGAGATATACCTCGTTTTTTCCATATGTTAGACTTGTTGAACTCTCTGACAGTCGAAACCCGCTCTTCAAAGTTGGAAGATACGCCTATCTTGTCCCACATCGAAGACAAAGTATACTCATGTGGTTCGCCAGCACCATCCTTGTAGAACAGAGCTAAGCTCTCGTATGTATGGAGATTAATCTTTCTTATGGTATCAACCTCCAAGGAGAGACTAGAGGCTACATTTTCGATAATGGCTTCAGCGATGTACGTACCCTGCACATCCCCGGGGGCCCTCATGATTGCTCTGCTTAGAAGATTTGTTTTACAAAGTTTAATATCAAAAGATAAGGCGCCCCAATTGTATTTCTTTAGCGCCCCTATGATATTTGATGGAATCACCATACTTAGACCAAGAGTTGCCTCTACATCAATTAGTATTTCTAGCTCCAGAGCTGTAATCTTCCCTGTGGATGTGAATCCGACGCTGTAAGTTATTTTCATGGGATGCCGCCCACCAGTCATTATCATATCGGTCTTGCGGTTTACATAGATTCTCACAGGACGCTGCAGTTTATTAGCAGCAACAGCGCACGCTGTCGCAACCTGAGACAATGGAAAGCTTTAAGGTTTTTGTCCATTTCTTTCACCAACTGAGGGAACAAAAAGGACATAATTGGTTTTAGGAAACTTACAGGCATTGCCTTGATAGCTTTCCCTCCAAAGCCTCCACCAACACGTCTGGTTATGACACGGACGTTGTTTTCAGGGATGCCGAGGCAAGCAGCAACCGTGGAGTGTACGTACTGAGGGGTCTGACTTGAACAATAAACTACAATGGAGTTGTCTTCATCAGGCACTGCAAGAGCTGTTTGCGTCTCCATGTAGAAGAAGTATTGCGACCCGAGTCTAATCTGTTTCGTACATCAAAGTTGTAAAGATGTGAACATAGACATATCACTGAGTTTTACTTCAGAAATGTGAAGGAGAGACTACATTACTTACTTCCGAGCTGAGAATTCTATGATCAGCTTCGGCCATTCCTTTTGATGTGTCGCCAACTTGTTGTGGGTATAAGAAAGGGAAAATGTCGAACAGGCTAGCTTTGTTGACCGCATCTTCCATAGATAATATCGGTGGTTCCAAATCCTCTGTTTCGTATTCAACTACTGCAAGATTAGCTGCACTGTCGGTGTGTCTCTGTGTATCTGCAACCTGCAAAAAGTTATGTGTTACTACAAGGTACTACAACCAATGGTGATGAAACTCAAACTCATGGACAAATAAGATTGGACTTACCACGAGAGCGATGCATTCGCCTACATTAACGGTAAACTCCTCTGCGAACAATGGCTCGGAGCCAAATCCAGTCTTCGTACCCACGTTCTGTCCACCTGTAGGAACATCTTTGCAAGAAATGATTGCAAGAGCTCCATCAGGTACTGCGCTTTCCTTGAAATGAATACTTTTTATCCGTGCGGATGGTTTTGTGCTATAGATGAATGCTCCATAGAGGCAGTTTTTGGGAGATGGAATGTCATCAACATAAACAGCCTCACCAGAAGCCTGAAGGGAAGCTCCAGATTTGGTAACAGGATCGCCAACCGGATAATATTCATTATTTACCGGAACATGTTGTGAAGAAGACACCATTGGCAGCGGTTTTGACGGATCCAAGTGGTAACCATTTGAAGGTTGTTCTTTAAGAGTTAAGGTGTGGAAAAACTTGAAAAGGAATCCCGGCGCCAAGCTTTTCCTGTAAGAGGGATTGCTTGTACCGTCTTGAGGCACCACGATATTGCCAAGTAAGGTAATAGCTTCATAGAGAACATTTTCAGTGATTACTTTCCCAGCCAGAAACTCTTCAACTTCCTTACACATAATGGCGTGTTTGGTCCCGTAAGCCCCGAAAGCCAATCTACAGTTAATTACCATTGTCTCCTTCACTTCAGCCAAGAAAGCAGCATTCAGGTAAGCCAGAGCGCTTCCCTGTGGACGCGGTGCTGCTCGAAAGGTTTCGAAAAGCAGTGATTGATAATGCGGAAATGGAATTTCGATACTCAAAACCAGATCATGAGCCTCAAGAGGAGAGCGCTGAAGGAACTCTTCCAGTGCTAGCTTTTCGAGTCCTCTTGGCGAGCTCATTATGTTAACAATTGCACCAGCTGCAAGAAGTATTGTGGCCATGTCAGAAGGAAACTGTCTCCTCTGAGCCATTACAAGGTTCCCCCCAATGCTACCAAAGTTCCTGATGAATCTCGCAGCAATCTTTTCCATATGAGTAGCAAGTTTCTCAAGCATCTTCTCAACTTTCGGCGAGACCCGAATCTCTTTTAAAGCGGTAATAACTTTAGATATTGTTACCGCAGCTCCTATCTCAACCCCATTTTGGGTTTCTCTTATCTCTTGAAGCTCGGGGATTCGAGTTAGATCTATGTATTTGTCGTAATTAAGCTCTCTTTCATCCTTGTAGTATCCTGTACCTGTATTACCAGCAACCAGTTTCATAGAGACTCCATGAGTATTAGCCTTGCAAGCCTCCAATAAGCTTTGAAGTTCCTCAACACTTGCCGGGCTGCACCATCGGTACATTCCTGAATCCGCAGACTTAATCTCATCCTTGAGAAACTCTGGAAATGTGCAGATACGCTTCTCACTATCAAACCGAGGTAAAGTCATACAAGAAGAAGCCCCTTTCTTACAAAAAGAGTTGAATCCAAGATCCTCAATGTCCACATCCGAAGCAAAGCTCTTGCAAGCATCAACAATGGGACGGTATCCAGTACACCTGCATAGGTTCCCCGAGACAGCCTTCTCTGCCTCAAGAGCCGTAAACTGGGAAGATTTAGACTTGTCAGCGTCTAAGAGAGCAGAGAAGAGAGAAACAGACATTCCGGGAGTGCAGAAACCGCATTGAGAGGCATGGAAGCCGGAGAATCGGTTGTGAATGGAGTGGAAACCGTCTCTGCTGTTCCCAAGTCCCTCTGATGTGGTGATGCTGCAGTGGTTAACGCTGCAGAGGAGGGTGAGGCAAGAGCTGACTGTGAAATCTTCCACATTTTGTACAACAGGATCGTACTTGGAGAGAAGAACAACACAAGCACCACATCCTCCTGAACCAGAACAAACAAGAATATGAGACTGAGATAATCCAACAAGACAAATGAAGAAGAAAGGATAAGCAATGACCTTCGCCGCAGCTGAGCTTAACGCTCTTGAAAGACGTCTGATAACGGAGGAACTCCAACAAGGTTGTTGATGGGTCGACGGAGGAAAGGTCAAGCTCAAACCTTTGCCCATTAATGGCGAAAACCAAGCTCATTTTTCCC